ACCCAGATGCAGGACCTTGTACTTGGCCTTGGTGAACTCCATGAGATTAGCACCGGCCCACCTCTCAAGCCTGTCCAGGTCCCTCTGGATGCCATCCCGTCCCTCCAGCGTGTCAACCACACCACACAGCTTGGTGTCATCAGCAAACTTGCTGAGGGTGCACTCAATCTCACTGTCCATGTCACTGAAAAAGATGTTGAACAGCACCAGCCCCAACACCGACCCCTGAGGGACACCAGTAGTCACCAGCCTCCACTCAGACTTTGAGCTGTTGACCACAACTCTTTGAGTGCGACCATCCAGCCAGTTCTTTATCCACCGAGTGGTCCATCCATCAAACCCACATGTTTCCAGTTTAGAGACAAGGATGCCATGTGGGACGGTGCCAAACGCCTTGCACAAGTCCAGGTAGATGACATCGGTTGCTTTAGCCTTATCCACCAATGTTGTGACCCCATCATAAAAAGCCACCAGATTTGTCAGGCATGACTTGCCCTTGGTGAAGCCATGTTGGTTGTCATTAGTCATCGTCTCATTCTCCATGTGCCTTAGCATAGTTTCTAGGAGTACCTGCTCCATGATTGAAATAGTTCATCTGTTTTACTTTAAATCGATGCTGTTAGCCAAATACACATTTTCCAAATAACTTATATTCTCCAAGCTTCTTTCTTGGCGTTTGTGTTTGTTAAAGTTTTGCTTCACTAAAACTCTTTAGGTCAGACCCAAGGATTTTAAACTTTGGTTTAAGTCAGTGAAATACACCCTTTTAATGTAAGACATGACCACATATCTGTAATAACACTGGTGCATAAAAAAAAAAGGAGGCAAGACAAGGTTAAACTACTCCCTTGAAGTTCAACAGGGAGATCTCCCCCTAAGTCCACTTTTTTCATAGTGCAGAGAAAATTCAGTTGTCAGATGCATCTTGATATTTTTAACAGCAAGCTTAGAGGCACTGATTCATGAACACATGAATACATATGGAATTCTGTACCGTACTTAAGAGTTTTTAAATCACACCTGTAGCACCGCAGATACAAATCACAGCACAAACAGATGTGCATTAAGCAATGCAAGATCCTCCAAGAAGTGTAAAGTGGAATGAACTAATTAAAAGAGAAATCATTTTGAAACATTAAAGACTGCCCACATCAATGTTGACAAATTAAGAAATTCTTCCTCAGTACTTATTCCAAGCAAAACTGAAAGGTAAGAACATTTTACTTAGTGCTTCAATTTAAATCAATTTGAAGTTAGGACATTTCTCTTCTGAATAGTAACTTTCAATTATGCTGAGTTTTATTCTCAGAAAGCTAGATATCCAGTCCTAAGGCACATTACAATTGAAGTAAATATAATGCTGACACTCTGCCTACTATAGAAAATACTGGATTGCATTTCTCTCCCACAAATCAGCATAAATGCTACAACCTGCTCCCCATTCAACTCCTCCTTTTGTTTTGTGTTCATGCCTGGCAGAGTTGGCAACTAAAGGGGGGGAGTGGGAAGAGGGAAAAAAAAAAAAAAAAGAGTAGTTTTCACAGAATCACAGAATGTTGGGGATTGGAAGGGACCTCGAAAGATCATCCAGTCCAATCCCCCTGCCAGAGCAGGAACCTAAATGAGATCACACAGGAAGGCGTTCAGGCGGGTTTTGAATGTCTCCAGAGAAGGAGACTCCACACCCTCCCTGGGCAGCCTGTCCCAGGGCTCTGTCACCCTCACTGGAAAGAAGTTTCTTCTCAAGTTTAAGCGGAACCTCCTGTGTTCCAGCTCACACCCACTGCCCCTTGTCCTGTCATTGGGCATCACTGAGAAGAGCCTGGCTCCATCCTCCTGACATTCACCCTTAACATATTTATAAACATTAATGAGGTCTCCCCTCAGTCTCCTCTTCTCCAAGCTAAAGAGCCCCAGCTCCCTCAGCCTTTCCTCATCAGGGAGATGCTCCACTCCCTTCATCATCTTGGTGGCTCTGTGCTGGACTCTCTCCAGCAGTTCCCTGTCCTTCCTGAACTGTGGGGCCCAGAACTGGACACAATATTCCAGATGTGGCCTCACCAGGGCAGAGTAGAGGGGGAGGAGAACCTCTCTCGACCTACTAACCACACCCCTTCTAATGCACCCCAGGATGCCATTGGCCTTCCTGGCCACGAGGGCACAATGGTGGCTCAAGTTTTCATAGAAACTACAAAATTACAGTTGCACAACAAAGTTGGTCAACTTCCTTAAGAGAAAGTTGACAGGCAGAGTTTGCTTTTCCTGGGAGGCAGTCACAATAACAGTGTTTTGCACAATAGACAGAGTCCAGATTCCAGGATCCTGCATAAATAAATTAGACACTAGAGTTTTCTTGTATATTACTGGTGAAGTGGTTTTAAATAGGTTTTGTAAGCCCAAAGTATTGTGAAGCTGATGATCTACAGAGTTAATACACTTCATATGATGCTTTTTTAAAACATCAGCATGAAGTGTTAACCTTTAAACAGGAATTCTACCTGCAAAAATGCTACTTTATTCAAGTGTCTACCATGGGATAACAGAGTGTTAGTTATTATACTAAATCACTGACACAGCTGTTACCTACACTAATCACTGGGTAAAATTTCAAGGGGCTCACACAGAAGATAAATGACATCTACGTGAAGAGTTCTTATTGCCTAGACTGGAGATAAATATTATGTCTTTATTACACACCTGTGAAAAAGGACTGAATAAGAAATAATATTAATAGAAAATGTAATTAAAGGATCTTGCAATTGTAACTTGAGATCCTAAAAGCTATTAAAAATATATCTATGGGAACAGAACTCTAAATAGAGTGCTACATATAATGCAAAAACTTGTTAATCTTCTAATTCTAATTTAAGATCACATAAATTCAGTTCTACCAGGTATTTCAAAGTTCAAAACAATCTGAACCAGTATCAGTTACAATTAAAAAAACCCAAACCCAACTATTTTCACAGTAGGTATTTCCTGACAAACTAGTTACTCTATAGATTCTCTAGCTACAGGGAAATTAAACCTCTTCAATTATGATGAATTTAATGAAATGCATAAATTTAAGTGTGAAAATAGAGAAAGAGATATACTAATAACATAGGAAATCTCTAAGCAGCTAGTCAGCATATTTAAATTAAATAACTAATATATTTAAATGTAATCTGTTAATCCTGATATTAAAACAATATCAAAATAGACAGACACACAAAACCAAACATGGCACCTTGTACCATAGCAGCACGAGGATGAGTAACTTGGATCAATACCATTGTGAAGCTGAATTTTCATACAGATTAGTATGAAAATGCTCTTTGGGTAAAATACTCTTACCCAAACTTGGAGATTACTCAGTGTTGGTTTCTAAAAGAAAGTAAACACAACTTACCAATTCTTTTACTCTGCTCTTCTCTAGGTTGAGGTTTAACTTGTTATCTGCACGAACTTTGGTAATTTCATCCTAATGGGAAAAAAACTGATAAAGCAGCAAGCCAGATTTTCTATTTAATCATAAGCAGAATAAAAATAGACAAATATGTTGTGCCTTTCTTTACTATTTCAGGAATCAAGCTTCTCTCCAATTAATGTTCATAATTTTCAAAAGAATAAATATTCCTGTTCTTCCCTCAGGAAATACTCATGCTCTATCGTATGAATTTGATCTCAGAATCAAATACTAACAATTACTTTTTAAACCAGAACATTGAGAACACCACTTAATTGAGAGCACATCCTTCTATAAACGCTGGGAATGTTTTATATATCCCATAACTCTCGCTGATTTCTAGAAATCCCTGCTTAGGCACACCTGCAAGTTGGAACTCCTCCATTAAGCAACCTTGATGCTCAAAATAACTTTAAAAGCAGTTTCTAACCTTTCTAACCTAAATGTAAAAGAAAATCTGTTTCTAAAGACTACATCTAGGGCTTTCAGAAGAAGCTACAGACATTTTAGAAGTTCGGAGATGTTTATATTTTTAAACATCTAACTTTTTAAAGCTAAGACAAGTTGTACACTTGCATTTTACTTCATCAATAGCTGTAAGTGAATCCTGCTTTTCACAGTGACAGCTGCCATTTTAATTTCCTCCTGGCAGGAATTCCAGACAGCTGACAGTTTGTCATGAGGCAAACTGCTGATCAGATGAATGTGTGGGAGAAGCAAAAGATTGCTGATGTTCTGGGAGATTCTACTATTAAAGCTAAGTAAGCACCTCTCAAGTAGGCCAATGTCAACTAGTCAAGAGTTCATTAAGTTAGTATGAACAATAATTAGACTCAACTTCTACGTCTGAATTTTTGACCTCTGGTTTATAATTAGATGCCATTACAACATGATACATTACAGCTTAATGAATCAAAAATTAGAAATACATTTTTCTTAAACTTTTACAACACTGTGTTTTGTCTGTTAGAGGAACAAGTATGAGCAAACATTCAATAACTTACCCTTGTGTGAGTTACATCTATAGTTAAAAGTCAAATTTAAAGACACCTAGCTTTTAAGAAAAGATGACTCAGATTCTTGATGCTCTACCAGTGGATCACACTAATTCATTTATATGCAACTAAAACCATAAAATAAAGCTACAAACCAAAAATTAGATGCTGAATGTATTTTAAAATGGTATTCTGAAAACCCTGATGCATTAAGCACTTCACAACACAGTAGGAAACATGCGGGATTAGCCTTGAGAAATTTATATTCTCCTTTTGCAGATGACAGTGCAAAAATAAATTGAAGAGAATAGGAAATAAATGGCAAGGGGACACTAGGGCGAGTTTGACCACATTGTCAGCTAGCTCAACAAGTCCAACAGTCAGACAGTTTCATGGACAAATCCTAGGGAAGGAAGAGTGCTCCATCCTTCCAACTAAGAAGGACATCTCAGCAGCAAACAGGAGTTCCCAAGTCAGATGTCCATACTCCCTAAGAACAGCTGATGTTTCCTAGTTTCCAATCTTAATCACTCTTGCAAGAAGATTTTAAGACAATCTTGGTTTTGATGGTAGAAGGGTGTCTGGAGTGCTCAGACAGGAAAACCATAAAAAACACAAACAAGCACTGATGTTTAAACCTGATAAGAATGAGGATCTGTATGATAATTAACAGAGTAAGTTTTCTACAGGGAGTCTGTTTTCTTGCAATGCTCATTTGCTCCCAAATAAGTGAGACCGAACGTAATGGTCCCAAACTCAGTGGTCTAAAGAAGTCATTTAAAGCTATTTTAAATTCTGGAAAGCTAACAGGTAAGTCTTCAGATGAGGGGGAAAAAAAAGAACCAAGCAAAAAAAAAAAAAACAACCCCAAAAAACTCCAACACCTGCCAAACCAATTAGTAAGTGCTGTAATTTTAAAAGTACATTGCACCTGCACATGTAGCAGGCAGACCTAAATGCAGAACTTCACTCAGCTTTAACTGGGACATGGCAGCCACTTTCTGCATCTGTATTAAGGACATGTAAGTTAAAAAAAAAACCTTCAGAGAAATTTTTCTTCACCTCTTGTACCATTCACGGTTCCCTGTCATCACAAATGAAGTATGCATGAAATTTGTCTTTGCTGTAGCCCACAATGTACTATCAACTGCAATGTCAGTATCCTGCATATCACAACAATTAAGCACAGCTTTTCAAATAAAGTCTTGAAAGCAACAATTTTCTTTTTCTTTTCTTTTTTTTTTTTCTTAAAGCAAACTAGACAGGTGTTAATTCTTAATTACATTGGTATGGTATCTTACCATTACTTGCTTCTTTATCTGCTGCAGTTCAAGTTTTATTTTCTGTGAGAGTAGAAGAAAAATTGTACACTTTATTATTGGATATAAACTCACATCATTTAGAAATACTAATGAATCTGTATGATCAGTAACAATGATCCAGCAATAATAGTAACAATCCACAGAACAATAAAAATCTATAATGTGAAAAAGAAGGCAAACCAAGCATGGTTTAACTCTTATGTCCTCAGTATGTGTCTATACACACATGCATGTTCGCCCAGGACTGCACATTCATAGAATGATAGAATGGTCTGGGTTGGAAGGGACCTTAAAGCTCATCCAGTTCCAACCCCCCTGCCATCAGCAGGGACACCTTCCACTAGACCAGGTTGCTCAAAGCCTCATCCAGCCTGGCCTTCAACACTTCCAGGGAGGAGCAGCCACAACTTCCTTGGGCAACCTGTTCCAGTGTCTCACCACCCTCAGTGTCAAGAATTTCTTCCTAATATTTAATCTAAACCTCCCCTCTTTCAGCTTAAACCCATTTCCCCTTGTTTTGTCATTAACTGCCCTTATCAAAAGTCCCTCCCCACCCTTCCTGGAACCCCTTTGGGTACTGGAAGGCCGCTAGAAGATCTCCCCGGAGCCTTCTCCTCTCCAGGCTGAACAGCCCCAACTCTCTCAGCCTGTCCTCACAGCAGAGCTGCTCCAGCCCTCGGATCATCCTTGTGGCCTCCTCTGGACTTGTTCTAGCTGCTTCATGTCTCTCTTGTGTTGGTGGCCCCAGCACTGGAGGCAGCACTGCAGGTGGGGTCTCAGGAGAGCGAAGCAGAGGGGCAGAATCCCCTCCCTCGACCTGCTGCCCATGCCTCTTGTTGCAGCCCAGGATATGGTTGGCCTTCTGGGCTGCAAGCGCACATTGCCGGCTCATGTTCAGCTTCTCAGACATTTGCAAACAACATTTCCAAACAGCAGCACCAGACAGAAGCTGGCAACGTACCCCAGCAGTGAGGGTGGCCAAATGCACGGGATGGTATTAACGAGAGTAAACCCAGCAGGTGCAGGGAAGGGATCATCTCCCCATATTCAGTTCCTGTGAGCCTGCACTGGAAGTGCAGCGTCCAGCTTTAGGCTCCCTGCTAACAGACAGATGTTGACACTCTGGAGCAAGTCCAGTGAAGGGCCATGAAGATGATGTGGGGCTGGAGCACACTATGTTGGGGGTGAGGAGGAAAGAGAGCTGGATTTGTTCAGCTTTAAGAAGAGATGGCTACATGGCAATCATACTGCAGCCTGCACCTACCCAGTGTTCTCTAGAGGCCCCTTTGCACCAAAATGATTCTATTACTTTATGTCTTTCCAAAGATCCATGGAACAGGTAACAGCTGTAGCATCTTCTATCAACTCTCTCTGGAGATCATCCAGTCCAGTGCCCAGCTCAATGCAGGGGCAACTAGAGCAGGCTGCTCAGGGCTATGTCCATTTAGGTTTTGAGTATCTCCAGGACAGCGACTCCACAGCCTCTCTGGGTATCCTATTCCGGTGTTCTACCACCCTTACAGTAAAAAGGGTTTTCTTGTGTCTAAATAGAGTTCCCACATTTTGAGCTGTGCCAATTACCTATTGTTCAGTCACTGTACAACACCAGAAAGAGCCTGTCTCTGTCTTCTTTATACCCTCCCTTCAAATATCCATATACATTGATGAGATACCCTCTGAGCTTTCTCTTCTCCAGGCTAAACAGTTCCAGCAATCACAGCCTTTCCTCACATGTCAGATGCTCCATTCCCTTACTGATCTTTCCAGCTGTTTGTTGGACTCTGTCCAGCATGTCCATGTCTCCCTCACACTGGAGAGCCCAGAACTGGACCCAACACTCCAGATGAAGTCTCACCAGTGCCAGGCAGAGGGAAAGGATCACCTCCCTTGACGCACTGGCAGTCCTCCTAACACAGCCCAGAAGGTTGTTGGTCACCTTTGCCACAGGGGCTCATTGCTGGCTCATGGGCAACCTGGTGTCCACCAGGACCCTGGAGGCCTTTTCTGCCAAGCTGCTTTCCAGCTGGTCACCCCTAGCCTGTCCTGGTGCATGGGGGTTGTTCCTCCCCAGGGACAGGACTTGGCATGTCCATTTGTTCAACTTAATGAGATTCCCATCAACTCATTTCCCCAGCTTATTGATGATGTCTCTGAACGGCAGCACAACTGCCTGGTGTATCAGCCACTGCTCCCAGCTTTGTATCACCTGCAGGCTTGCCCAAGGTGTGTTCAACCCCATCAACAAGATCATAAATGAAGGTGTTAAACCATACTGGCCCTAGAGTGAATCCTTTGGGTACAAGGTGCTTTTTTACATCATTAGAAAAAATAAGCAAGTGCTAGAATAGTACTTTCCAAGATAGCAATTTTTACCTCATTTTCTGAGCGAAGTGCTGAAAATTCACTTTTTTCCAAAATAATCATGTCCTTTTTCACACCACCAATGTGGGACATTACTTGCTGAAGTGCAATTTCCTTTAAAAGAGGGAAGAAAAACCTCAGAACATATCGTAACCATAATGCTTTTTCTCATCTGTGCCTACAAATACGATAGGCTATTTTGGTACCCTGAAATATTTAATTCAGCAATTTCAGATTAATTATCCGAGTTTCAGAAAGCAAGATAAATTAAGTGACACTGACAAAATAAGCAAGTTAGGCTCAAATGTTCATAACATTTAGCAAAATCAGCAGTGCTAACACAGATCAGAATAATTCAATTAATAGCCTAGGAAGGAGTTTCTTACAAGTCTTCCTGCCCCCTCCCTGGAAGTGTTCAAGGCCAGGCTGGATGAGGCTTTGAGCAACCTGGTCTAGTGGAAGGTGTCCCTGCTGCTGGCAGGGGAGTTGGAACTGGATGATCTTTCAGGTCCCTTCCAACCCAAACCATTCTGGGATTCCACTTTCATTCAAAAATCTAGGCATAGAAGGAACTTGAGATTGCTTATTGTAAGTCACTTACTGTAAAATACAACCAACCATGGGAGAAAGGGTCCCTTTAACACTGCACTCTCTGACTGACTGTGGAACAGTCAGCACAGGAGGAGGAAGCACTGCCACATCTGCTTTGCCTGGAATCTAAAAGCTGGGAAGGATGGGCTGAAACCTCCCTAGATGGCAGGGGGGTTGGAACTAGATGATCTTTAAGGTCCCTTCCAATCCAAACCATTCTATGATTCTATGGAAGGCTGTGCAAAATCCAGGTGTTGTGCTCCTTAATGAGATGCCCTACTGCCAAGGCTATGACACTACAAAGACAGCAGCTGCTGTTTTCTCGTGTTTTAAGACAGCAGCCTCATGACTATGAGGTAAGTTAAAGCTTGTGTTCAGAAGGTGACTTGGGGCTGCAAACCCCAGCCCCCTAGAGTAGCCCCAGAGGTTGTACCTCAGCTATTGCTCCTTGTCAGCGTTGATGACATGTCAGGGAATTCCAGGATACCCGATACTGTGAATCCCATTCAAAGATGTTTAAGTTCCACATGCAGTGGATCATGTCTTACTCTGAATTTCAGTTTCATTTCCGGAGCCAGATGCCCAAGAGCTCAACGTAGCAATATTCAACACTGTCACATCCAATTCCTTAGATCTACCTTTGTATGACCCCACCCCCCAAAAAATCACAGCCAGTATTAGAACAAGCCTTGCCTCCAGACACAATGTATGGATACCATGAGGATACCATCAATCACGTATGCACCAAAGGAAAAGGAGATAGATTTCAGCATCAGCATCCAAACTATACGTGTTCCTATATCTTACCAGTATATACAACTACACCAATCATGCCCTAAAAGCATCATATAAAAAAAGAAATTCAGCTCAATTCTAATACAATGTAAATGTCATTGTGACACAAAGAGATAAACAAAAATGTACCAGATAACAGAGTGCTACATAACTGAGGGAATCTGTATTTCTGTTACAAGCCTACGAAAGACTGTATGTAGGAGCTGTAACTATTCAACTCGATGCACTGAATACTTCTTATGTCTGTCTAAGAGCCTGCTCAGTAATTCTATTTCATGCTACAATAAGGCTGAAACTAAAAAAAACTACCTGTAGTTGGCATATCAGCTCACAGTACCTAAAGCTCAACACAACACATTGGTAAGTGTTTGATGAACTCAAGACAAAATTCACCAGCTGATACCCAGGGAAGTTTGTTCTTCATCTGCAAACTTTTAAAATACAGCATCTAACAGTAATAAATAGCAACAGATACTTAATTAGCAGGCACACTAGGTTTTGATTTACTTTAACCCCACCATTGTCTCTGATCTAACCTGCTGTACTTTGGTGACCATGTCCTGGTAAATTATATCCAGGTTGGTGTTCATAATTTTCACTAACGCAGACACAATGACCTCCGACTGCTGAGTAGTGAACCCTAAAGCAAAACAAAATACAACAACATTCAGAGAGAGACCCAAATCTGGACAGTTCACAGAAACAACACTTGCTGATACTCAGCACCAAGTTAAAATCAATTTCAGTTAAAAGAGATAAAAAACCCACACTCCTCTTGATCCAGAACTAACAAAAGACCACAATCAGTATGCCCCAGTTCCTCCACCTCAGAATTACATCTGTGACATAGTTCAGCTGCTTCTCTAGTACAGCACTGCCACAATACCAGGAGGATAAATGCTGAAAATTTTCTAGAAGTATTACAGAATATGGTTATTTCTATAAGCAAGAATTCTGACCCTGAAAAAGCAGATACTTACTTGCAGTACACTACAAATCTTCAGCACTACTGAAGCTGTGCGAGACTCAACGACTGAAAACAGAGCTGACTGCTCTGATTTTAGGCCTACCAGACTCTGAGTCACTATCAGAAACCTTTTAAACAGAATATACTGGGAACTATTGTAACACATTGTCCCTAGAAATACTCTCAGCTTTTCTGCTTTCAAGTTTTCTGAGACAAACCACACGGCAGGGGAAAGGGGCTGGGACCTCACGTCTTCAGGGACAGAGAGCTGTTAGAAGTCAATTCAGCTGTACTGAACTTCACCTTAAGGTACCTTCCCCACCTCAGCAACATTAGCATGAATTCAAAACAATCCATCCCCTTATCTATGTTTTAGCACAAGAGCAGCTGTGTTTTATACAGTATTCTACATTCTATCCTAAAAGCTGCATTTTACATAGTAGTCCATCTTCAATCCTATTATAATACATTGTTACAACTTCACAGTGCTATATACTAAATATGTAGGAATCCAATCAACGTATTTTAAACCACTACTTTGAAAACTCTGTTTCTAACTCTCAATTCTTAAAATTTAATTTCTCTTTAGCATTTTTAGTTACCAGTAAGATAATAAATTATTCCAATCAAAGTTACATAAGCTCACTGTTTCATTCTGGAAGTAGGAAAAGCCTGTATATTCTTACCCAGTATATATAATAAAAAAGAAAAGCCATAAAACTGAAGCATCACATGTCAAGATGTCAGTAATAAACTCTGTAAACTTAAAAAAATCACTCATGAAATGACATCACAAATAGCTACCCGTTTGTAGTTAATTACCATTTTGTTCCAAGAGGCATACCAGCGCATGAGTGTCAAAAAAAAGCTTCCTATTTCCCAACAAGGAAATATTTCCTTTGCTTTGTAAGGATGATGATGCAGAGATGCTTACATCTGAAAAAAGATAAACGAGAAGTAAGTTATCTTTAATAAAGAATCTTTAATCAGCATGTTTGCTTTCTAGCAGTGTCCTTACTACCCCAAATATTTTTCATTTATGACAAAATATTAGATTGTGCATTGAGATGATTGCAGCTTGCTTGGAACTGAAAAGGTATCCAAATAACAAACTCTACGCACAAGAGCTTGAAAAAAAGAATACAACACTACTGCTGCACGTTGGAGATGCTCTCCAAGAATATAGTGTCCTAGAAAAACCCCACCAAGCATCAGGGCCTTAAAATTGTTCCGATTATTGGCATAATCAGTGGAAGAGGGTTGGAACTGGATGATCTTTAAGGTCCCTTCCAACCCAAACCATTCTATGAACTATAAGTTGTGAGCACTTCAAAGCTTGGAGGACTAAATCCACAGACTTTCCATTCTTTGTGAAGGAAGCCAACCTTCGCTGGTCGCCCTTTAGACAAGAAGTAATCCCTCCCTATTTGCCATTTACTATTTATACAGGAAACATGTTCCACGTGGAACACAAACCCCAGGCAGCGAAGCGAAGCTTCCACCTGGGGACGTGCTGACAGGAAGAATGGCAGGTGGAACATAGAATCACAGAATGGTTTGGGTTGGAAGGGACCTTAAAGCTCATCCAGTTCCAACCCCCCTGCCAGCAGCAGGGACACCTTCCACTAGACCAGGTTGCTCAAAGCCTCATCCAACCTGTCCGAGAACTCTCCCGGGGAGGACCAGCCACAGCTTCTCTGGGCAACCTGTTCCAGTGTCTGACCACCCTCACAGTGAAGAACTTCTTCCTAATATCTCATCTAAACCTCCCCTCTTTCAGCTTAAACCCATTTCCCCTTGTTTTGTCATTAGTTGTCCTTATGAACACGAGCTGAACTGCCAGGAGCACAACTCCCCGTCCTCAGAACCGCCCCGTTTCACAGCGCTGGGACAGAAACATTCACAGACCAATAACGGACACACGGGTCACCCCTCGGGGGAAAGGAAAACCAGCCCCAGCGATGACCCCTACGGACGGACAGACAGGCCGCACCCCGCCGCCT